TTTTTAAAATAAATTAAATCTATTTTTTTTTTTGAATAAATACAGTATATTGTAAAATGATTTTTTTTTTAATTTTATTAATAATGTAAAAATAATAAAATTTTAATTTTAGATAAATATAAATTTATTATTAATTTAAGCTGATTTAAACTGATTGATACCTGATTTTAAGTTATTTTTATATTATTTTTAGACTGATTTAATACTGATTGATGTTAATTAATAGTTAATTGATAAATGATTAACTTTTTTTCAATTATTCTGATTTTATTAATAAGAATTAGTAAATCAGCTATAAATCAGCTATCAATTAGCCTTAAATCAGCCATCTGATTTTTTAGTTAATTTGATTTATTTTAACTAGTGTGTATAATATAATTATTTTAAAGTATTTTATTATATGTAATATAGTATTTAATGTTAAAATTGTGATAATAAAGTTGTAATTAATTTAAAATTAAAATATCACCAAATTTATTTAAATATTTAATTAAATAAAATATATAGCTTTAATTAATATTAATATTTATAAGATGATTTTAGTTAAAAAAACAAATTTTATCAATTTATATTAAATTTAAGTGATTAATTATTATTAATTTTAAAATTTGATATTAAAATTTTTTTAAAATATAAGATTATATAAATTTAATTTATTTATAAATAATAATATTTATTATATAATATAAATACTTTGCAGTAAAATTTTGTTTTATTTTTTAGTATTTTTTCTTTATCACAATATATTTAATTATTAAAATCAATTCCTCTAAAATAAACTATCCCTTTAAATAATATTCATCTAATGATTATTAATATAATACTTTGATTTACTTAAACTAATCCATAAATAAAAAACAAGGATAATAAAATTAATTAATTAATTTTATAAAACGTGACAAGCCGATCTTAAAATTACAAGCACCATTCTAAGAAAATAGCCAAAAAAGTAAGAAATGGATCGTTATTCGCGATTGGCCGAAGGGTTAAACGCGATAAACACGTGATATTTACGCATTTCGGGCGGAAAGCCCGAAAATCGAATCATTTTCGGCGCCATTACAGTAAAAGGATTCAAGCCTAGCCGAATTCTTCGTAATTGTCCGATATACGCGAAACTCCTCCTCCATCATCCTTAAACTTTTTTTTTTTTTAAAAATAGATAAAAATCCCGGAATACCTGCGAAAATTACCATATTTTCTACGAAGATCCTTCAGCTTCCGGGATAAATGAAGGAAATTCAATGATGAGGAAATTGGGGGCTGGTAATTTAATAATTCTGCCGTTGATTTTTAATAATATTAGTTTTAATGTAAATTATCGTAAATAAAAAAGTTAAAAAAAGTATTTATTTTATTTACCTTTTGATTATGACTTCCATGATTATTGGAATGTATTGATTGTATCATTATCATCCTTATTAAAGAATGGATTTGCGTCATCTTATTTTGTTTGACAAAGAATCAGGCTAGTTTTATTTAAATGAATTGCAGAAAACAAAGGAAATTTGCATAAAATTTTGAAACCTAAAACTGGAAAGGAACGTTTTCCAAAGAAATTACCTCACAATGAATGCTCATTAAAATTTTACATGTGGAAATTTTTTTTTTTTGGAGAAAAGATTAAAGGTTGATTATTTTAATAGGATGCATAACACAAACAAATTTTTTTTTTTTTTGTTCTCAATCTTTTTTTTTTTTTATCGAAAGAAAAATGAGAGAATTTGAAAAAAAAAATAAGGGTGAATATATAAACAATTAAGTCGTTTCAGTACGATTATTTGCTCACATTTTAAATGATCGAATAATTATTGCATAATTCAGGCCCAAAAAAAAACGGATGTTCCAAAACTGGGATGTTACAAGTTTTATTAAGTTTCAAAGTCGGAGCTTCAAAAAAACCAATTTTTTTTTAAATTACAATTATCTATATGGGGGACATAATATAAATAGAGTCATTAAATATAGTTAAACCAATTTTCTGATTCGTCTTGTAAAACGTTATTTAATTTAAATATTGTACCAATTATAGAATATGATCAATTTTGAAAAATATAAAAAGAATATAATTCTTTTTCGTAACAAACTCGCATTTCCTGTAACCTTGTCGAGGCACTCCTGTTTTGTTAAATCTCTCTTTTGCCTATTTTAGCCTCTTGTCTTTATCTTTGTTTGAGATTTTTTTTCCCCTACTTTCATTCATTTTCATTTTCACTGAACTTTATATCCTTAATCCTTCCTTATTTATTTATAACACGAAAACCCTCTTTTCTGACAGGTCTCGGAAAAAAATATATAACATAACTCTTTACAGCAAAAAGACAAACTGCAAGAAACCCCATCTTCACATAAAATTTGAAAACATTACATAACCTTTGCTGGGCAAAGTATATATTTTTTTGTTCTTTGAAATTTTTTTGCTTCCCTTTAACAAACGACGACAAACCATCATCTTAAACGAAAAAAAAATGGGTAAACTCATTTGGAATCAATGGGCAAGATTGATCGCTCTTACTGCTGGTACCTGTATGTATTCATTCAAAAAAAATTTTTTTTGTTTCTTTTGACTTTCGCAAGTGGTAATTTTTATTGATATGAACTCGTTTTCGTTTAATTTTATTTAGTTGAGGTAATAGGAGGGATTTTCGGTATCTTTTATCGTTATTCAATGTTCAACGCTGTCATTAAGGATATTGACTTTTTGTTTAACCCTATCAACGTTGTAGCAATTCTATGCATGTAAGTGTGAACTTGCCAATTCGTTTTTTTTTTCGGTTCTTGAAATTGAAAATAATCAAACTCGAACTTTATTTTTTTGAAACAGTATCTTCGGGACAATAGTACTGGCTATCGAATTACCTTTAAAATTCCTTAATAATACAATTATAACAACATCTTACATTCCAAGAATACTATTATATTTCATCATATCAGCAATTTCGGTATTTAACTACCAAAATGTAAATCCTGCTCTGTATTTATTCATTGCCATGTTAATGTATATTAAGGCCGCGGTGAACGGTGAGACCAACAGGGTCAATAGTAATATAAGATCGAGAGCATAGGATGTAAAGAGAACAAAGAAAGCATTTTTTTTTTTTAACTTAACAATTGTAAAAAAATGTAAAGAAAATTTTAGAAGGCACAAAATTATTCAAAGAAAAACATCAACAGTTATTTGCAAAGAGTATATTTTTGAGAGAATTTCACGTGTAATGGGATTTCCATAATGTAACCTTAAAAACAATGTGTAAATTTTTAATCCAAGTTGAATAATATAATGTTTTTTTTAGGATTTGATAATGTGATTATTTAATAATAAAAAAAAAAAAAAATTATATATATATATATACATATTATAAAAATTATTATTTACAGTACATCGATCATGGACTGTGATTCTTTACATTCTCCTGAATTTTATTATTGTATTACCGTTTTATAACTGGTTTTCACCTTTACGAATAAAACGGGTTAATCCCGCCCCCCATTGTGATAATTCCGACCGAAATAGTATCCCGAGAAACTAATTTAGACGACTAGTCATTTTGGCTGAAGTTTGCTGACTTTTTTTATATCTTTTAATGACTTTTTTGAGGGTTATTTTTTTTTGTTGATTGAAGAATTTTTTATTTTTGTAAAAAAAAAAAAATTAAATTAAATTTTATATCAGAAAAAAAAATATTAGATTAAATTGAAAAAAAAAAAAAGAAATCGATCACAAATCTATCTTGTCTAAATCTTGATCCTTTTTTTTTTTTAAAAAAAAAAAAAAATCTCTAATGGATTACGAATCCAAAATACCAAAAGTATTATAATAAAAAAATATTTTTTTGATTATGTACATTATTATTAAAATAAAATAAAAAAATTTGATTAAATTAAAAAGTGAAAAAAGAAAAATTCTTTCAATTATTATTATTATTAATTATCTTTTTTTTTAATTAATTGCGTAAAAAAACGTATATTTGGGGTGGTGAAAAGTCAAATGAGAGAAAAAAGAAAAAAAAGAATAAAATTAAAAAGATTATGTAGATGTTTTTATGAAAAGCTTACAAGTGTTATAGGTGGATTTAAATTAAGTCTATATAAAAATCTATATTTTCGTAGAGATTAAAAATTCTAAATATTAATGGTGCTTTTTTTCGAAAATTTCTCGTGTGTCGTATATATTCCGTAAAGAAAATTGTTGTTTGTGATTAACCTAATTGTGTTTTGGTTGTTTTTTTTTTTTTGTTTTTTTTGCTTTTTTTTTTAAAAAAAATCCCACAACTGTACAAGAAAAAAACAAAGGAATTCTTTACGAAAAAAAAATTATAAAAAAAAAAAAATAAAATTAAAAATAAATGTACTACTATTGATCAAAAATAAACTAAAGGAAAAAAAGCACTTGATATTAAAAGAAATGCAATAAAAAAAAATAGTGATAAAATTGATTTGAAAAAAGTAAAAAAATGTTCGTGTCTTTGATCTCTGTGTATATAATAATATTACTACTTTCAACGATAATCAATACCGTAAAAAAATTTTACCCTTTTTAATAAACCCACCACAAAAATTTTATAATATAAAAATTGTCCGTTTGTTTCTAAAAAAAAAACAATATATACAATGTAATGTATATATATATGATGCGTTGCGAAAATATATATATAACAATGACAACATCAACGGTTAATGATGTTCTAAAAAATAATAATAATAAAAAAAATATATATAATATTACACCGCCTCTTGCTAAGACATTGTCTTTGCTAATCGAGGCGCAAAAAAGTCGCTTTCGTCAAAAATAAAAAAAGAGGAAACTTGCCACTCTAGCAAATTATCAATTGTTCGATTCTGCCGTTATTATTAGGAAAAAAAAAATTGTTCCGACTCATTGTCCAAATAAAATTTTCATCAAAAAGAATATCATAATGCAAATCCTCCATTAAAAGATGTATCCAAATTATACAATTTTTTTTTAAAAGAATCATCATCGTTCTTAAACTAAACCATTTTTAAACTCTAGACGAGTTGCGAGAAGTTCTTGGTCGGGAAACAGTACCTGAAGGTACTACTCCGGATTCGATAGTTGATGTTTGTGCTTGAACTTTAGGTGTAGACATTAATGGGAGTTTTTTCCTTGGTAACTCGACGACTAAATATATTTAAAAAAAATTTTTTTTAGATGAATTTGAAATGAAGATAACTTTTTTATTTATATATATGTTTTTTAACTTACCGATACGCTTTCTGCGCACATTATCTGAACAGCCAGCTTCACAGAACCATTGTTCCGAGCTTGATACTGTCTCATCGGTGATGTGAGAGGATAAGCATTTCTGGTGAAATGCTTTGGGACACCCTTCGCATCTGACGAGTACGTTTCCTACAAACGATTCTTGTTTCTGACATACGGTACAGACTAAAATAATCAAAGAACGAAGGATTAGTTTTGAATATTTTCAAATAATGTTCGAAATTAACTTCAACTTACAGAGCTGCAAGACTGGACGGTCTCTATCTTCAACTGATTCGTTGACGAATCCTGTCAAGTCGAGTCTTGGAAGCTTACATGCGAACCCGTAACCTTTATAGTCACATCCATGCTTACTATCGATTTAGAAAATAGATATAGATATTATTAATAAATAATTTCATTGAAAAGAATTCATCATTATAAGGTGTTAAAACATAGATATATATTTAATTGAAACTTACTTGCATAAAGTTCGCTTGCCCCATGGGCCTGGTCTCCAGTTAACGCCCTCGGTAGTGCCGCAGTATCTACACCAATCAATTCCTGACCTTGTTAAAGTCTGAAAAATTGTTGGAAAAAGGGTTGGACGAGATGACGTGACTTCATGCCCTTCCATTTCTTGAGATTCTTCAGGCGTTAAGAGACTCTGTGGTGCTGGGCTTTCAACTGAAACCGCTGAGGGGGAATTCACTCTGCTTGACCGTTTTGAAGAAGGTTTGGATGATTTTGAGGATTGCTTACCACTATAAATTTTTTAATAAGAATAAAAATAAAATTTTGGTTAGTTAACGTGAAACGAAAATCTAATGAATGATTTCAAACTAAACATACCGTTTTGCTGTTGATGCCTTTGATTTGTTCTTTACAGAACCGGACTTTGGTTTGGAAGATCCCTTTGATAATGAACCTCTTGCTTTACCTTGGGACTTGATAACCTTTCTCGCAGTGCGAGATTTCTTATTGGTATTTGTTGGACGATACTCTTCGTCATCATCTTCTTCAGAATCAGTGTCACTGCTATAATGATATTCATCGGTAACGGTGTCGCTAATCTCATTAGTTTCATTAGCAGGTTCAATACTAATGTCTTGATCATTTGCATACGAGGAAGAGACTTCAGTGCAATCATCAATGTCAACTCTAAACTTCTTTTGTGATTTTTTGTCACGGGATTCAGAATCGGAAATGTCATCTTCGGATGATGATTCATAAGACATCCTACGCTTGAGACTATGATCGCTGACGAGTTCGGGAGTCTCCAATGGTGGACTTGGCATCACATCCCCGAATTCAACATAATTGGTAATGACCGGTGTGGGTTTTTTAATAACATTTTGAGAAGAAACGTTTGGTGAAGTTTCAATGAATCTAGGATCAATGGTATTGGAAACGTTGAAATTGCTCGAATCAGAACCAAAACTCGTTCCAGAATTAGAGCAAATAAGAGTAGGATCAATGGTAAAGTTAGGAGATTCATTGCATGCCGAATTTAATGGGGGTGTAACGGTAGACATCGTGGTAGGAGTTGATAGTTCCATTTTAACTGGAGGAGAGCTATACGAGTACAAAACTTGAGGTGAAGAGGAGATGACAGATTCAAACGCGTTCGTGGATGATGTCTCGGAAGATTGATTTTTTGATAAATCGAATTCATCTCCGTAAATCATACTCCACAGTGAATTTTCTCCACCCATATAATCGGTTGGTGTCAAAGGAGGAGAATATCTCTGACGAGGAGTCGAAATATCCGTGTCTGAAGAAGAATCACTATCACAATGAAGTAACTCTTCGGTATCTTCAATCATTGGATCAGAAAAAAAGACATCATTCAAGACACCATTCTTTGAGTAGGAGATTTTGTCACAATTATCCTCATATTGATGAAGTGAAAAATCAATCGGCAACTCATTCGGATTGGACAAATTAGCTGACATTGAATAATCTGAGATTGACTGAGATACATCTTGAGAAATGAGAGATTGCACATTTAACGTCTGAGTAGGAACGATATGAGACGGAGTAATCGAATGATTTGGGGTTGTCGCCAGTTGTTGCTGTTGTTGTGACGTATTATTGAGTGTCACTTGTTGTGACATCGAACGTGGAACGACGCGGGACGCCTGTTGAAGATTCTGCGTCTGCGTCTGCGGTTGCGGAGGTTGCGATTGTGGTGGCTGTTGTAACATTGGAGGAGCAGCAAGATTTCTATAACTGCTCATTCCAACGTATTTGCTTTTACACTTGTTACATATACTTTGATAAATCAACGCGTCAGATGATATACCATTAGTGATCAAATGTTTCGTGCAGTCTTCACAGAATGAGAATGTTGAAATCGCGGACATGTCAAACTGTGGATCCTGTTGAGCGGAACCAGTTGGCTGCTGTGACATCTGAACATGTGACATGAATGGCTGTTGCATCGCTTGACCATGTTGCTGTTGTTGCATTTGAGAAAAGTGCTGATGATGCATCGACTGATGATATAACTGTTGAGGGTAATAAGTCGGGTAAGGTTGGACCGGTCCAAAAAAATTTGTTTGCATGTTACCATAATCCATTGGAAGAAAATGAGATATCGGCGTTAAAGTCGATGACATATCCTTGGAATTTTGTGAGTTGGAATTTGATAACAATTCACCAAATCCGTATTGTGTCGGAACAATTATCTGAGGTGATTGCTGCTGAGCTTGTGAGTAAGCAACACCACCTTGCGTCGTTGTGGTGGGTCTTAACATTGGTAGAATTTGGCGTAAAAAGGGTGGATCATTGCAATTCGTACTTGACGTATTACGTTGTTGATGATTAGATTTCTTAAAATTAGATGTACTCGCCATCTTTTTTTTTTTTATATTAGTTTAAATATGTAAAGACTTGTCGTGATAGAAAAAAAATAATAATCTATTTTTTTTTTTTTAAAGTTTGTTGTTTATCAGTTGGTTATTGGAAAATAAACGAGACCTGAAAATAAAAAGCGGAATTTTTAAAAAAAAAAGATTTTTTATTTGTTAGTATTGTGACACAGATATTTATGTGGTTTAAATTTGAAACAAAGAATGGATTAAGCATTATCTATATATGGATTCGTCCTAGTGTTAAACGCTAGTAACAATGTAAGATGTTGATGAACGAAAAAAATATTTTTTTTTTTTTTTATGGCGAACAATTAAAACTTCAAAACAACAATAAGGAATCAGAATATATTCGAATGAAATAATAAACAAGGAAGAAAATTTGTACCTAAAATCGATATGAATTGTAAAAAAAAAAAAAAAATATTATCTAAACAAATAAAGATGTTTTTATCAAAATCTGAAATGATAAAAAAAATTTTTTTGAAAAAAAAAAGAGGCTGTATGAACGATAAAGGAGGATTATGGATTTGAGGCTGTGCGCAGTAAGATTAACCAATAAGGAAGATCACTATGAGGGTTACTGCGGATGGAATTGATTGGAAAGGAGTAATACAATAAAGAAAAGGGTGTATGAGGAAATAATATGGCATAATAAGGAACAATATTAAGATGGGGAGAAAAAAAAACACGAGGGGAAAAAAAAAAGTATTCGAACGCCCCAGATGTTACAGAATTGAAATGGTGTCATCAAAGGGGTGTGGAGAATATAAAGATGGACAATAGAGTAGAGACAAGGACATTAAAAAAATTTTTTTTTTTACGCCCAAAGAAATTGTTTTAAAGAGAAACAGTCAAAACAGAGAGAAAAAAAAAGAGATAATGTGTAAAGTTCAAACATGAAATAAAATGATAAACAAAGCAATATTAAGATGCAAATTCAAAGAAGCGTACACAAAGCAACAACAAAGGCGATGACAGGCATTGTAAAAGATGCCCTCTTCTAGGGATATGCGATAGCAAAGATGAACGAAAGAATTTAATAATAATTTTAGAATACTTACTATTTTAAATTTACTTTAGAGACGACACCAAAAGCAGGAGAAGGAATGAAGTTTTGTAAAAAAAAAAAGGGATGGGAATGGGTTTATAAAGCAAAAAAAAAAATCGGACAGTAGTAATAAGTAAAGAGAAATTTAAAAAGATTAGATACAAAATAATTTATGACGTATATATATCGAATATATTAAGCAGTGTATATTTTTAAAGTATTATATATTAGAGTAGCAATATAAATAATTATAGTTGATCCCTCACTTATTAAAAAGGCTTTGTTCTTTTTTGGCACGTTATCCGGACAAAAAAGCAAAAATTAAGTGAAGTGAAGGAAAAAAAATGTGGGCGAGACTTATTTATAACAAAAAATTTCAAATAAAATGTGAACCAACCAACCAATAATAGAACTAATAGATATAATATAAATAAATTAAAGGAAAGAAAAAAAATTTTTTTTTATGGAACCCAGTGTTTTAAAAAAAAAAAAAAGGCCGAACTCTAAGTTTTTAGACTTATTATAAAAATAATCTATGTTTGAGTGTAAGAAAATTTTTTTTGGAAAAAAAAAAGTTAAAATAATTAAGTAAAAGTGTTTAAAGATGTTCACGGAAATTGTCTGGTTTGAGTCAGATGTGAAACAAAAAAGGGCATTACTCAATAATATAAATATAACAATTATTATTAGTTAATCAGCATTATTATGTTGTAAATTTTTAGATTACGACATATATTATTCAATCATTTTAACTGTTAAAAGATAAAAAAAAAATTAAAATGATATGCATTTAGCATATAATATAAATAAATTTATTTTAAAGCATGGCATATTTAACACCACATATAATGTTACAAATGATAAAACTCAAATTATGCATTTTGCATAGGAACGAACAACAACAAGAACGGATGCAGTAATGTTATGTTTGGGTACATGATAGATTGGTTGCAGCATTCCATTATCCAGAGTAATAAACAAATGTAAGTAAATCATTTAAATTGTGACCCTTGTAAGTTACCATTTCTTTTACCAGGGCGACCGCTGATTGATGACTTTTTTATCGACCAGAAACTTTTCCTTCCCGATGACCTCTTATGTCATCTTATCAAATTACGTCACACATTCAACGGGGCATTTCTAGACTTTAGAAACCAACATTTTGCTTGCATATTAAAGGAATGAAAGTATCCAACTATATAAGACTATATTTAGGTTTATTGCGAAAAGGTAACAATATCTGCAGATATGGAACAATTCCCATTATTTTTCCCTTTTTACGAAGTAATCGGCAAGCGCCATGGCAAATAAGTTCGGGCTTGACTCAAAAAATAATGTTCGCGTTGGGAATTTAATGCTATTTTAATTTACCAAATGAGGATAATTTTGATGATAATTACATTTTGCCACATTAGCCACACAGACCTTTTTTACGTTTCTTTTTAGTGCATGGGATGATGATGTTATGCGCATTTATGTTGTTGTTGGTGAAAAAAAACCGAGAACAAGAGAAAATTAATTCGTTGTGACAATAAAATAAACTTTTGCTTCAAACACTGAAACGGAACTCAACATAATTGAAGAATAATGATTTGTGACTTGTATGTGTAATATATATATATCCACATTCCCAAAGTTAGCAAATAACACTTTGATTCTGGAATAAAAAATAAACTTTCGGAGCACAACATTCCGAATTTTATTCGAATTTCCCCACATTTGTAATCCATAAAATTTCTTCACGTTGATTGGTCACTTGTACCTCTTTAAATAATAACAAAGGAAGACAGCACTTTTTTTTGACTAAAAGGGGACATTTAGTTTTAACGATATGTTTGTATCATTCGTTACCTTTACAATGAATTGAGCTATTATTATAAAAGACATAATGCATGCACATGATCCATCCATACAACCATTGGTTTGCCAGTTAATAAGCATAGATCAGTCGGTTTCATCATTGTGAGAAAGTCACTTTAAGAGACAATGATGATATAAGGAAATTATCCAATAAAAAAAGAAAAATTATTACTTGAGAAACAAGGTTAAAAAATGTGCATTTTTGGTGATAATTGAAAATTCTTATTCTCCAAATATGATCAAAAACAATAAAAGAAATAAAGGGAAATACGGTTGCACAAACTCTCCTGGTCCATTTCAACAAGCAAAGTTTACAAACAAGCAACCGAAAAGAAATGAACGAATTAGCTCGTCAGAAATAATATAAAAAGAAAATAAAGTTTTTTCGTGTAAGATGGTGTGGTTATTGTAGTTACATGGATAGAAACAAACGCGTCTTATTATTTGTGACAAAAGAATTCTTTTTGATTTTTTGAAAAAAAAAACCTCATCGGCATTACCGTACATGATATTTTCCTCTTATAAACAAACGCGGTATATGGAAATTAAAGGGACTTACTTGAAAAGGAAAAATAATGAATATGATTTGCTTGCAATAATGCGTTAAAATGGAAAATCACATGCATGAATATGTATGATCATCAACAGCTTATTCGGTGCCTCCTTTTTTCCCCTTGGTCATACTTTTATGATGTCCAATGAGGAACCCTTGAGGATTTCCACTTAATGGTGATGCTCTATTACGTTGTTCGTTCGTTAACCAAGGGTGTCTTTCCACATGTATGTAATAACTTTGCTAGGGGATAATAGGTCAGGAGCCATTGCCCGGTAGGGTTCGGTGAAACTGGTGATCCGTACGTGATTCACAATCTTTAAAGTTTAAACGGATAAAAAGATGTCAAACAATTAAAAGAATGTCAAAATGCAAAACTTATCCACGAAGAAAAAAAAATATATATTTTTTTTATAATCATAAACATAAACGCACAAAATCCAACTTAAATCATTGTAACACGTACAACAATTTAATTTAACAGGAAGAAATCCCAAAATCAAAAAACCTTTTTATATTAATGGTATTTGTATTATCCTTGGTATTAGAAAGTGTGATACAAAGTGCATAAATAAATAAATAAATAAATAAGCAACATATATTCAATGACAATTTATTTTCTAATTGGTAAGGTAATGAAGTAACCCATTATGCATAATATATACATCTCCCTTTCAAAGTTGTTTCATTCCGACTTTTTCCTATAATTCAGGTGACCCTTTTTAATTTCTTGGCCTTCGAGATGGTAACGTTGAAAGAATTTAAATATAATCCATCCTTTAAAAGATGTCAAAACAAGAAGCACCGATCGCAACATATTTCACGGAAAACGCAATTTCCTATAGTCTACCCTAATAAATAACGTCTGAGTTTACGTCGTACAGATCTTAATAAAATTTGGAGGGAAAGCATCCTTTTACGATTTTAAAATATTTTTTTCAAGATTCCCTAAAATGGTCTGTCTCTAAATCTAGATTAGACGATTCGTCGTTTTCTAGAGAATGTCAGAGTATTTCAGATAACCCTTTTATTTTCGCTTGATCCACTTTGCAAACAAAATTTAATTGCTACATGTTCGTCAATGGATTACATTGATATTCAGCATTCCGTTTCACATAATAATAACATGTCATGTTGGGTCTTTTTTTCAAGTAAAATGAAAAACATCTTTTTTTTAACAAAAAAAAAAATTCGGCAAATAAGATAATTACATATAACATGCATATCTTGGGCTTGGATGTAACCATTTTTATATTTATTTTCCCTAATACTTTTCCTATGTCGATAACTAGAAGGTCCAAGCAAATGTTACACTACATTTGTTTTAGCACAGTTAATTTTCTTTACATAGCATTGATCGAAATTAATAATTTCCGATTATTTTTTTTTTAGAACGGGGTTTGGTCTCTCTCTCTTTCCTATTATTTGATTTTATTTTTGTGGGGTAAATAAGATGATGATCAATCATTGATTAAGACTAAATAGCACAAAATCACCTTGTGAGTCGATTCACTTTTGACC